CCCCAAAACCCCAAAACCCCAAAACCCCAAAACCCCTAAATATTTATTCTCAATTGAACACAATAATCAGATTTTGGACAGAAATCAACCTTTATTAGCAATCATAACCTCGAAACCCTAAGAAAGCACCCTCACTTAAATAAACAAAAGACAGCAGCCACAAAACGCTAAGACAAACTATTGCTATCAAATGAGGAACAACAGCCAAAAGTTCAAAGAACTTTTGGCTGCCTCCAGAACCTCCTAAGCCACAAAATTTACAAACCTAAACCACAAACCCCAATTCTTAACGTTCATTAAAATTAACTATCCGTAATAAAGCCATTAAACAGTGCTATGTTCTTCAGATTAGTTTAAAACTCCATCTTCATGTCACCCTTCCTTCTTCTCCTCTCTATGGAACATTAAGATTTCCTATGTTGGCATTCGAAATAAATATAACTTACATAAATTCCTGATTCGAAGACTTCGCTTCGGAAGAGTCGAGCCTGACCTCTTGATTTCATAAAGGCGTATTGCTGAGTTCCCCTAAAATATCTTTATAGAGGACTGCTGCTTTTCTCTTAAAATGTTTATGTCCCTTCCTCTTGAGGTATCACTCGAGAGTCTGAATATCAACTTCTTGGTCTATGTCAACGCCAAAATGAACTAGGATAGACTGAAGGCTAAATTTTGGGAGGTCAGCTTTGAAGTCAACCATTGCTGCCAAGAAGTTTGAGTAGGATATGTATTCGGCTTGATCTTTCCTCTCACTGTTGTCTTGGGAAGGAGTTCAGTCTGAAAGTTGGTCGAAATATTTGATAGAAGAAGATGCTTGAATGAATTTTGTGAGATTAGCCTTGCCTGTTGCACTTCAGTAAGCATGATCATAGAGTTTGTTCCATCGAGCAAGGATTTTAGCATCGATAGTGCTCAGATATAATGAAATAACTTCCTTCCTAAATATCGAAAGAGTAGCATTTTGATTGAAATTATCGATAATATTTTGAGGTAATATCGGAATTTCATTGGTAGAATCAACCAACCAACCATGATCCAAGGCTTCCTCAATTTTCATCCTCTTTGCTGGATCTTTGACTCACAATTGCTGGACAAATTTAGCTGAGTTTTGGCTGAGGTATATCCATTGGCTCCTTCAAAATTTTAAGGGCTTCTTAAGTATCTTATAATAAATCCTTTGGTGGTCCTCATCTTGAAAGGGAGGACATCCTGTTAGCATTAAGTAGCAAAGAACTCCAATACTCCAAACATCTGACTCCTTATTATATTTACCTCCAAGCACCTCAGGAGCTACATAATATGGCTCTCCAAGGCAAGTGTTTAAATCACCCTTGGTCGAAAAATAACTAGATGAGTCAAAATTTATAACTTTAAGTTGGAGTGTTTCTGGTTCTACCATTATATTCTCAGGCCTCAAATTTCTATGCATTATATTCTTTGAGTGACAATAAGCAATAGCTTTAAGAAGCTGTTTGATAATAATTTTGGTATCAGACTCAGATATTTTGCTCTCAAAGATTAAATCGTATAATCGTTTTCCTTTCCAAATATCTCAAATAACATAAATCTTATTCCGGTTTTTAAAAATTTCTTGAATTTTGGGAAAACTTGGGTGATCAAAGCTCCTAAGAGCAGACACCTCCCTTGCAATTGGGAGTAGCTTCGAGGTTAGACCATTTAATTTATAAACCTTGACTGCAACTCTGAAAGATGGATCAGCTATATCAATGGATAACCAACCAGTTCTGAGGAATAATTACTAATAGTAACGATTTTGAACATAAAAAAGATGGTAAATAACTTCAAAACTTACCAATGCTAGCTGCTTCTTTTAGAATAAAGCCATCACCACTACCAAAGACATGGCCAAGCTTATAAAAATGTTCAATTGGCTCTTCATTGAGCTTCACCGAGAAAAGATTTTGTATGCTCTGGTTATCTGAATGCGACTGATCTTTCCAAAAATCTTTGCCTCTCTTATACCTTTTAAGCATATGGCATTTTTCCTCTTCGATAGAGTACTTGGAAGAGTAAAAACTTATCTTCTGGCTGAGTTCCATGTTCATCCTCCTAGAACCTAGAGCTGATGGATACTTTCAGAATGTTGAATACTTACTGCTAAAATGACTGCTTTTTGAGAGATCAGAGGTGATGAAACTCCCCAAACTTGGTTCTTCAGACCTCTATAAGAGGTTTAAAGCGAAAATTGATGAATTACCTTGCTTGATTCTGAGTTTTTCCTCTTATTCTGATCGAAAGTATCTCTTTGCTCTAAAAGTTCGTGTCAAAACCTGAGGTCATAATATTAATGGCTTAGTTCAAATATCAACAGATTTCTCTTAGATTTAAAGGGTTCATCCAACTTATAGCTCAAAGGTTATTTACCCTTTCAAAGAGGAGCCTAGCTTAGCCTACTTTAAGAATGGTAATACTCTTTGAACTGAAACTTACTGCAAATACATATTTTTGCTCCCATATTATAAGTATGACAATTTGATTATCTTATACCTTTTCAAAAATTCAGAGATATAGCGGGGTTTTGGGGTTTTGGGTTTTTGGGGTTTTGGGGTTTTGGGGTTTTGGGGTTTTGGGGTTTTGGGG